AAAAAAAAAAAAAAGAATTCTAAGCTCAAGTTAAGTTTTTTATTCCTTTGACTTTTTTTACACCAAGCTTTTCTTTTTCTTAGTAAAAATGTGACAGCATTTTTCACTCAATCTAAGATGCTAATGAATATAAAATGCACAAATGGTCATCTTTACTGATGGAAAGAGCACTACTCCCATCCTAAAACGAGAAATTTGGGCAGTCTACAAAATTCAAACCTTTATTGAACTTGTTGGAATAACTGAGATTGCAGGACATGTAAGTAGCTAAAATCTAAAGTAAATGATCACTTTCCAAGAAAAACCAGAATACAAGTGCTGGCTCAATCAAGGCAGAACACAGAGAAAGACTTACAGTGAATGATAGGAAAGGAAAATTCAGTTCAACCATGAACAATTCAGGGCTTAGTTCACACTCACTCTAAGTCTTTACAGTGAACGCCCTTCCATACACTTACAGGAATGGAGACTACAGACAGTTTGATGTGGTGGTTGAACGTAGAGAATGAAAGGGTCCACTGCTAAGGGAAAGGTATGAAGCCCTCCCTTCCTTCTACCCTAAGAAATGAAAGCCTTTAATTTCTGCAGAAATTTTAACTCCAGTTAAGGGGAACAGGAAAGAGGAATTAAAAAATATATACTGAGAAGCAGCAAGAGTGGAAACCTCTGGGACCTGACCATTAGAGTTTTCCTAGATTCCTAAAAGATGGGCAGGATCAGAAAGAAAGCCTACTGACTCAGAAGACTGAGAAAATGGAAACTGCCCCAAACTGAAGCTGGGCATGTCAGCACTGAACCTTTTATTTTTCCCTTTCCCAAATCCTAGGCTAACAAATAACAGCAATCAAGTTACTGCGGAAGGAGGGGTAAGGTCATAGAGAATGAGTACAGGCATACAATAAAGGCCAAAACAAGGATACAGCAGGAACATTAAGAAAACTGCTATTGGAAACAAGGAATTTGAAATCCACAGCACACAGGAACCACAGCAACAACAAAATTCAAACCCAACTCAACTAAGAAGTAGACAGAGGAGCTGTCTAGTCCAGGCATAAAGTTTGTTTACCTTAGTCTCCATTATCCTGATCCAGATGTCAGAAGTTCAATATGATATCAGAAGACACAAAACCGCAAACAAAGTAAAAGCAACGGGGTGAACGCAACAACATAACCAGACTTAAGACTAACCTGATTATGATGTTAAAGGTTCTTAGAGAAAGGTAGACAACATGCATAAAAACTGCAGCACAAAGTCAAATGAAAAGAAAAACTGAAATTGAAAACAAAGAAATAGGGCTGCAGCATGGCTCAAGCAGTAAAACTACCAGCCAAACAAACAAACAAAGTATGCAAAGTCAAGTTCAAATTGGAAGAAGGAAGGAAGGAAGGAAGGAAGGAAGGAAGGAAGGAAGGAAGGAAGGAAGGAAGGAAGGGTTCCTTCAATAATAGATCATGAATAGATCATTAATCTTAGCAAGGCTGAGAAAATAATCAATGAACCTGAAAACAGACATAAGAAATTTCCCAAAGTGTGAGCAGAGAAGAACTGACAAAGATGTAAAAGAGTATTGGACAGTCCATGGTACCAGTACCTGGAATGCTAAAGTGAATGGGGAAGAAGAAATATTTGAACGGATAATGACTAGAAATTTTTCATAACTATAGATATAACAAACTCAGGAAACATCTATTGAGAATTTGCACACAAATACACTCAGACAAGTTATATCCAAACTGTTAGGAATCAAAATCCTAAAAGCTACCAGAAGTGGAAAAAAGAGCACATTATTTACAGAAGAATGAAGGGAAGACTAAAAGTAGAGCTCTTCTCTGAAAGCACATAAACCAGAAGACAGTGATGAGTGATAACTTTAAAGTACTTAAATTAAGGCTAAGCATAGTAGTAGATGCTTATGATTCTAGTCCACTTGGGAGTTAGATACAGAAGGATCATAATTCAAGGCTAGACTAGGCTATATAGTAAGTTCAAGGCCAGCTTGGGCAATATAACAAAACTATCTTTTTTTTTTTTTGGTCGGCTGTGGGGCTTGAACTCTGGGCCTGGGCGCTGTCCCTCAGCCCTTCAGCTCAAGACAAGCGCTCTACCACTTGAGCTACAGCGCCACTTCCGGTTTTCTGGTGGTTTATTGGAGATAGGAGTCTCACGGTCTCTCCTGCACGGGCTGGCTTTGAACCGCGATCCTCAGATCTCAGCCTCCTGAGTAGCTAGGATTACAGGCGTGAGCCACTGGCGCCCGGCTAACAAAACTATCTTAAAACAACAATAAAGTATTTTTTGAAGAGAATGTATGTAAAGAATTCTATACTAAAAAATATATCTTTCGGGGCTGGGAAGGTGGCTCAGTGGTAGAGCGCTTGCCTTGCATACTCGAGGCCCTGGATTCGATTCCTCAGCACCACATCAGCAAAAAGAAAAAAGCCGGAAGTGGCACTGTGGCTCAAGTGGTAGAGCGCTAGCATTGAGCTGAAGAGCTGAGGGATAGCGCCCAGGCCCAGAGTTCAGCCCCACGACCGGACCCCCCCAAAACAAAAAACAAAAAAAATGTATCTTTCAAAAATGAATAAATATATTTTCTTTTTAAAATTTATTGTGATTATAGAGGTGATATACAGGGGGGTTATATTTATATCTCTCAGGTGAACTGTATTTTCAAACAAAAACCAAAATAATTTATTGTCAGTAGACTTGTAACAAAGGTTAAATGCAACTCTCTATGCAAAATTAATTTAATACCTCACTAAATCTTGGATCTACATTAGTTAATAAAAATGAAAGATTTCCTTTCTTATTTCAATCAACTTAATAGACAGCTGTCTAAAGCAAAAGAATAGCAAGAATAGTGTGGAATACATATGTAGAAGAATGACGCATCAGCACAAAAGGGAGGAATTCCTATTATTCAAAGCTTGTTGCAACGAAGTTCCAAGCATTAATCTCTCAAGGCATTGTGACAAAATCCAAATACTCTGCAATCTGGCCTTAGTTACTACTATAGTCCTAGTCCTACAATTTCAAATAAGATACCCCCAATGTCAGTAACAAAGTTCCTCCCCACATTCAGAGTATGTCATGGTCACTTGCACACATCACCTCCTTAGCTAGTGAATGAACAACTTCAACCACACTTAAGATTTAGATTAAACAATATACCATAATTATTTCTCAATATTCAACATGCATATGAGGAACAGAATGGAGAATAACTAGTTACTAGTAATTAGCAGTGACACCATATATACACTTGATATTCCAGCCACCTTTAGAAATACCATCATCACCTCTTTTGAGGAGTTGGTTTCACTCTAAGAACTCACTTGTTATTTTAGTATTATAAAGTTCTATAAAGGTTTTGTATACATGTCATTATGACATTTCTATTACTTACAACGGCTAGGTGGGCTGATGTCCATTACAGTCAAAGTAGGATTGTCTATGTCACTTCCCCTTCTTCTTATTCGACTGTCATCATACTCTGGGGTAAAGATACTGCTGCCACTACTAGTGCTTAAGGAGTGATCAGTAGGACTGAAACTCACAGGAGACCGGAAGGTGGTGCCCTGGGTCCTTCTAGCTCTTGGAAAGGTTTTACGACCTACAAAACGAAACAACAATTAGCTTACTCCTTTTACTAATATGCTGTATATTAAAATACTTACATTTTTTAAGATAGGAAACAGAAATGTGTCCTATAGGCTAACATACTGAAATGACTATGGAGGAAACACTAGAATGTGTATTCATGCATGCGTGGGCACGTGCACGCACGCCACGCGCACACACACACACACACACACACACACAATACATACACACAAAGTCCAAATGAAAACCACAGAAGACCTTCATATCTAGATTAAAAAAATGAAGAAAAATACTTTATTCTCATTTCCAATAGTTTAAGAATAATATAAAACAAAAATAGAGATGTTTATAGGTAGCATTTTTTTTTTTCCTGGTGCCTGAACTCAAGGCTATTCCTTGTTAGACAGGTACTCTTACCGCACATGAGCCATATCCCCCAGTCCTTTTCATCTTAGCTATTTTCCAAATAGGTCTCATATTTGTGCCCAGGCCAACCTGTACCACAATTCTTCTATTTAGGCTTCTTCCCATGTAGTTGGAATGACATGCCCATGCCACCAATCTCAGTTCATTTACTGACTGAGATAAAGTCTAGCTACCTTTTTTTGTCTGGGCTGCCCTTAAAAGGAGATCTTCCTAATCCCTGCCCTCCCGAGTATCTAGCATTATAGACATGAGCCACTGGCCTACACACTGACTGTAAATGTTTTTCCTCAAGGGCACAATGCAAGTGTAAATTTCAACATTAAGTGGTAACTTTCTAAGTAGTATTAATTTCAATATTAAGCTGTAACTTTCTAAGTAGTATTATTTTTACAATACTGTAAAGGACAGACAAGTTTTATATACTGACATAAAAACTAAAATAAATTTGATTATGACTCAATTTCCTCAAAACTCTTTTTATTTTTGTTCTTTTTCTTGGTGGCATTGGGGTTTCAATTAAGGTCTCATTCTTGCTACACATGTACTTTACCACTTGAACCAAGCCTTCGGTCCTTCCCAAAGTTTTTAAGATCAGAAAATGAAGGAATTCATAAACAAATTATTTCTAATGGTATCATACATATGAGATTAAGTTTTTATATTAATTATATTTGAGAATGCTGAATCGTTATTCAGGTCTAACCATCAGAGACTCACCATCATTATACTCTTGATGATGATATGAAACATGATACCTTCTTGGATATGTTCCTCCTTTTCCAAATTTCTCAAAGATAGGGTTATCATAGTCTGTTAAGACATATAATAAGGTTATCAAAAAAGTCAAATACTGTAATTAAAAAAAAGCACATTTACAAATGCTTATTTGATTTTACAAAAGTCTCCTCCTCAGTCAAAATATGAATATTTAAAATGTAGAATTTGTACTCTAACCTGAAAACTCCTGATGATTATCTGGGTAGCTCTGTGCCCTAGGCATTCGTGATTTTGGATAGCTCTCTCTATAAATAGAAAATGAAACATTAAGAGAAAGTATGTAAATAAAGCATGTGAAAAAAATTTAAGCAATATCTGTATGTGTACACACGTGTGTGTGCATATAAGAAATTCACTCTTAAAAAAAAGAAACTTTAAGCCTTATTTGGTACCTATATACAAAAGGTTGGCTTTTAAAATTAGCTTTTTGAATTTTGGTAAGAAGGATATATTTTGGAATCACGAGTATTTGGAAAATCCTGTTTCAGTTCAAGCTGGTAATTCAACTTTCTTAACTATTTCTGCATCTAGAGAGTGGACAGCATCTATACAATGGACATAATTCCTAATTCATCAAATGTTTCTAAGTCAAATGTTCCAAACAAGTTACTCCAAACATCAAGTACTAAATATATAGCTTTTTTGTTACTATATCCTAGAAATGCTTAACTGTCTACTGACACAGATAAAATTTCATTTAGATAGAAGAAAAATAAATGTAAATTCCTAAACAGTAGTTTTATCTTTTTATAATACTACATTCATAAAACAATCCCAGAAGAGAATAAATAGGTGATGATTTTAATACTAACCCTGTCCAGCACAGGGTGAATACCAAGAGAACAATGTTCTACTGAGACCAAGAGAGCGCATACTTGTGACAAAAATTCACAGATGCAACTTATTTCACACAAGCACTTATATTTTTTAAATGTCAACCAGTAATTTGGACAACAATTACCAAAAATGTAAGTTATTTTTAATATGGTGCTAGAATGAAAGTAATTTTTTTTTTGCCAGTCCTAGGGCTTGAACTCAGTGCCTGGGCACTGTCTTCAGCTTCGTTTGCTTAAAGCTAACACTCTATCATTTGAGCCACAGCACCACTTCTGGCTTTTTCTGTGTATATAGTACTAAGGAATCGGACCCAGGGCTTTATGCATGCTAGGCAAGCAATCTACCACTAAGCTACCTTCCCAGTCCCTGAAAGTAATTTTGAACAGGTAAAATAACTAAAAAAAATCTCCAAGCCAAACATAAAAAATTTGGTAAGTTTTACAAGTAGTTTTAAAAGTGAATATACAGAAATTCTAGGTTTTCACTTGCCTTCAAATACATGATTTTTGGCAAGCAGAAATGCCAAAAGTACTATGATCAAATGCTCAAAATTGTGTAAGTACATACATTTTAAGTAATAAAGGTACGAGTTAAAACATTTACCTTCACTACAAAAAACTTCATTTACCAACAGCATAAACAAGTATCAATTAACTACATTTTCTGTATGTAGACTGAAATAGTTACTAATGGTTTTACATGTTCTATACATGTGTATTTACACATATGTACTAAAACCCAAAACTACAGTCCACATTACCCATCCAAAGGACTATCAAGTGATGGACAACTTCCTGAGCCAGAATTTTCAGGGCTGCTTAAAGATAATGGATCCAGCATCTAGGAAAACAAACAGTTCCACCATGATTCCATCTGATATAACTAAAACATTCTTCAAAAGAAATTATTTTACTGACTCCTCTGTACAACTACTTAGAATTTAAAATCCTCCAAAAAAAGAAATTATTTTGATATTTTTAATTTTTTGAGGGGGAGGGGCAGTACTCCTCCTCCAAAATATGTGGGAGTTTTCTGTTTTGTTTCTTGGAAGTACTAAAGTTTGAGATCGGGGCCGGGCACTTACTTGGCTGGTGTTTTACCACTTGAGCCACATCTCTAACCCTGCATTTAACTCAACATTTAGTTAGAGATGAAGTCTCAGAGACTTTTGTGCTCAGGTTGGCTTCCAGCCACTACCTTCAGATGTCAACCTCCTGAGTAGCTAGGATTACAGGTGTGAGCCACTAGCTTGGCAAAATTACCCATTTCAAGTGCACAATTTAGTAAAATTCAATGACTCTTGATATACTGAGTTGTACAGCCTCACAACTGTACAACAGTTTTAATACTCCAGAAGAACTCCACACTCAATAGTATTGCACTTATTTTCAAACATTTGGCAAGCCATGGCTCCAAAGGTTCCTAAGAGAAAAATCTCTATATTCTATTAAAATGAAAGCTAAAATATTTCATATAATTTTGCTTACTGAAAGTGAACCGTGGCTCCACCAAACCAAGACTATGCAGTGACCACTGCAGTAGTGCAAGCACCCAATGCAATGTTAAGGAACTAAAAACAGAGCTTCATAAAAATGATAATTACACTTTAAATATGTCCATTTTTATTAAGTAGTTGTACAAAAGGGTTTCAATTCCAGAAGTCAGGTTATGCATCTCGATCAATATTACCCCTTCCGTTGTTCTCCCTCATCTTTGAAGTATTCTTTTAAAATGTTACAGACATTTCACAAAACTGAGTTAAATAAACTAAATATTTATAATTTTACCCTATCTTTCAGGCGTTCATTAAAAAAATCTGAATACTAGTTAATCCTAGAATTATAAATGTTTCATTTATGGATTAGTAATATAAGCTGCCTTATTTCAAGAGTTATCTTTATTCATCAATATATAAAGGCACATGCAAATTCATAGACATATTTCAATTTTTTAAAACATTTTTCACTTTAAAGACATGGGATTGGAAAAGAGGTAAAGCACACACGTGTGTACACATATATACACACATGTACATACACACACATATACACACACCCTCAAAGTACTTTCCAAATCACACTGGCCCCAACCAATAACCTTCAGACAAAATGAAAAACCAGCATCCAACATTGGCTTACTTGGTCCATGCTCTCTGGAATGAACTCTCCTTCACTGTTGATGCTAGTGAATGACCCATTCCGGGCAACCTGGTGTAATTCATCTGGAATGTATCCTGGGGGAGGGGAACTTCTATCTCTACTAGTGGAACCTCAAAAGAAAGAAATTATGATTTTAAAGCAATTTTATCAATAGCAAGGAAATCAATTGTTTTAACAGACAACATTTAGGAGCTACATAAAAATTATTTTAGCAAACGAAAACATACTTATTAAAATGTATCAAAACATGTATATTCATAAAACATCAAATGCTTTTATAACCTTTCTAAACTCTCACCCTACTGTAACTACTATAATATTCACTAGAATATTAAGTTTTATGCATTAGGTAGTATGTTCTTCTGACTGCTGACAACTTCCTCATGGGGTGCTGATAAACTACAGAATCCGAGATAAATGCAATTGCACCTGAACTTGCAGAGATAACTTATACCTTGCTAGCTTTTTTAAAAAACAAAAATATTTTAAAATATTTTAAGTAGTTATACAAAGGCATTTAGAATTGAAACCCCTGCCAGCTCTTTCTTTTCTCTGTATGTGTGCCAGTCCTGGGGCTTGAATTTAGGGCCTAGGCTCTATCTGTGGGCTTTTTTGCTCAAGGTTAGCAACTACCACTTCAGCCATACTCAACTTTTTGGTTAATTAGAGAAAAAGAGTTTCATGCCCAGGCTGTCTTTGAACTGTGATCTTTAGATGTCAGCTTCCTAAGGTAGGATTACAGGTATGAGCCACCAATACTCGGCCCCTTGTTAACTTTTAACATAAATTTGAGGCAGCATCTTGATACAGTGAAAGACTATGGGGTTGTAGAAGTCAGAGCATAGCTTCAGTCCCAGTTCCAATTATTCACCAGCTGTCTAGCCGTTACCAAATTATCATGAAACCGTTTTCCCTGTAAACATGAGACTAAATCCATTCTTTGCAAGCATGTTTTCCTGGTAAAAATCATAATGAATGGTTTTCTGTGTACACAGACATATGGTCCTGTGATATTCTTTCAGAGTGAGGTACACACCTGTTAATGTCAGCACTGGAGAGGTAGAGGAAGGAGAGTCAAGAGTTTGAGACTAAGCCAGGCACAGGTGGCTCAAGCCTATAATCCTAGCTACTTAGGAGGCTGAGATCTAAGGATCATAGTTCAAAGTCAGTCCAGGCAGGAAAGTCCATGAGATTCCTATGTCTAATTAACCACTGAAAAACTGGAAGTGGCACTGTGGCTCAAAGTGGTAGAGTGCTAGCCCTGAACAAAGGAGCTCAGGGACAGCACCTAGGCACAGGTTCAAGGCCCAGGACCAGCAAAAAAAAAAAAAAAAACAGTAATAATAAAACATACTCAAGAAATTCCCAGCTCAGCATTTTGATAGCATTCTTGGCAATAATTAAAATCCCTGAAAAGACTTAGGCACTCAAGAGTCTGCTCTACTAATTTCTAGAATTACTTCTTTAATTTTTTCCTTGCATTCCATTGTACAATTAAAATCTCTTCAAGGTTTTCTTTGGATATGTTAATCATTAAAGTACCATGAGGGAAGTGGCACTGTAGCTCAAGTGGTAGAGCACTCACCTTGAGCTGAAGAGCTGAGGTATAGCTCCCAGGCCCAGAGTTCAAGCCCCATGAGCCCCCCCCCACACACACAAAATAATAAAGTACCATGAGTAACAAAAAACTTAAATGGAGATTGCTAATCCTATGATAAGTGAAATTACTTTCTAAGGAAGATCAAATAAATGTGGTTAAGAGAAATTATAAACAGTACAGCAATAGGGTGCTGTTTATTAGGTATATGTTTTGGTGCTGTCTTGTGTTAAAAGATGGGGGAGAAACTAAAGTTTCCTTCCCCACTCCATGACTCAGAGACTGTTTCTTACCAATTAGAGAAAGCCGCTTCTTCTTCTCTGCTCCAAGTACTGTATTATCCAGATCTTCTAGTGATGGCAATGGTTCTGAATTTATAGCCTACAAAAGAAAAAGGACAATAAGTACTTCCCTTTCAGAGCTTTAAAGAGAATCCTGACACCAGTACAACCTACCTATTCTTTATTCTTGGTGGGCCTTGTCAAATCTACTCTTAAAAATTTTAATTATGTCAGGAACAATAATACATGCCTATGGTTCCAGACACTTGGGAGGATGAGCAGGAGGACCATTTGAACCCAGGAGTTCAAAGACAGCTTGGGCAAGACAGTGAAACTGTGTATCCAAAAAAACAAAATAAAACAAGACATTTTAATCCTAACATGATCCCCAAGTTGTGAGTTTCTATTAGTTTCACATGTACAATGTAGTATTCTTATTTGTAATTCTATCTGGTTTTGAATACCAACATTAAACTATAGCAATTAAGAGTATGTAAGGCCAGGCACCAGTGGCTCATACCTATAATCCTAGCTACTCAAGAGGCTGAGATCTGAGGATCGCAGTTCAAAGCCAACCTGGGCAGGAAAGTCCATGAGGCTCTTATCTCCAATAAACTACTCAGAAAAAGCCAGAATTGGAACTGTGGCTCAAGTGGTAGAGTGCTAGCCTTGAGCACAGACAGCTCAAGGAGAGAACCCAGATCCTGAGTTTATGCCCCACAACCCATTAAAAAAAAATAAAGAGTATGTAAGCATATGTTTAATCATATTGAAAACTATCAATGATTACAGAATATAACTGGTTCACATGGAGTTTTTCAAGTCTTATAATCCTTACTGAAAAACAAAATTCCAGTTCATACCTGTGTACTTCCATTAATTACAAGTAGTATCTTGAGGCTCTTCATATGAATACTGCGATCTAGCAGCTCCACAGCTTTGTCCAAGTCATCTTGGGTAGTTAATGGAATTACCAACTAAACAAAAAGGAACATAAGAAAACATGCAGACATCTCACCATGTCAAGTTCTTCACACGCATCTCCATTACTAAGGAATTACAAATCTCAAAATACCACTCTTTCTTATGATAACAAAAGTCTGAAAAATATATGTATTTTGTTCTCCCTATCCAACCACTACTGATCTTAAAATGAATATTTAAAACTTTTTATGAATCATTGTACCTAAAAAGCATATTTAGGGCTGGGAAGGTGGGTCAGTGGTAGAGCGCTTGCCTTGCATGCCTGAGGCCCTGGGTTCGATTCCCCAGCACCACATACGCAAAAAGAAAAAAGCCGGAAGTGGCGCTGTGGCTCAAGTGGTAGAGCGCTAGCCTTGAGCTGAAGAGCTGAGGGACAGTGGCCAGGCCCAGAGTTCAGGCCCCATGACCGGACCTCCCCCCCCAAAAAAAAGGATATTTAAAGACTGATTTTCTGCTTTCTCTTAAGGACAATTCAACTTGAAACAATTGAACTTCAAACCAAGAAATGTGGCTTAAAGTATGTTTTCACTGCAGGTAGCTGGCTGTCTGCATGTCCTGGGATATAAACTTGTAAAACCTCATCAATTTTTAAATAAATTTCTATTAACCACTTTGAAAAAAAAGATTGATTTTTTGTGGCTATTTCTATAATACTGTCAAATTTAATTAATAGTATATTCATCCCAAGACAGCATTAAGGGATATACACATAAAAGTATCTCTATAGATAAACTCTCAGCTTTTTCCTAGATTTGCATTCTCAACTGGTGTTTATGGATACAACAAACTGAGCTGCTATGGAGGGAGGGGTGCCAATAGCCACATACCTATAATCTACAGTTTGTCTCTAGTGCTGGTGATCTGACTATTATACTGTAGAACAAATGAGCTAAGTAAATCAGCCATCACAGGAAACACTGATGTGGAACTTCCATGCATTAAGCATGTAAGATTTCATCTTACAAATGAAATGGAGAACATCTCAAGTGGATACTGTATTATCCCTGAAATGGACAGGGAACAAATACCATATTATCCGTGGGTAGGGGACAAAAGTACCTAATAGGTCTACAGGTCTATGAAAAAGCGATTCATTCAACTTCAGAAGCTACTCAAGAAGCTAAGATTTGAGGATCAAGTTTGAAGCAGACTGGGCAGCAGGAAAGTCCATGAGACTCTTATCTCCAATTAACAACCATAAAGCTGTAAGTGTAGGTGTGGCTCAAGTGGAAGAGCAGCAGTTTTTTTTTTCTTTTCTTTTTTTTTTTTTTTTGTCGGTCGTGGGGCTTGAACTCTGGGCCTGGGCGCTGTCCCTCAGCTCTTCAGCTCAAGGAGAGCGCTCTACCACTTGAGCTACAGCGCCACTTCCGGTTTTCTGGTGGTTTATTGGAGATAGGAGTCTCATGGTCTTTCCTGCCCGGGCTGGCTTTGAACCGCGATCCTCAGATCTCAGCCTCCTGAGTAGTTAGGATTACAGGCGTGAGCCACCAGCGCCCGGCTAAGAGCAGCAGTTTTGAGCAAAAAAGAGACAGCACGTAGGCAGAATTCAAGCTCCAATAGTGGCACAATTTTTTTTTAAATCATTCTTAAGCATGACATTAAGCAAGATATTGTGGCTCACACCTATAATTCTAACAACTACTGGAGATGGAGATCAGGAAAAAGCTAACAAGACCCCATCTCAACAAATAAGCTGAGTAGGTGACTGATCTGGACAAAAACAGAGACCCTAGTAGAAAAATAACTAAAAATAACTAACTAAATAAATAAGAACCTGGGGCAGCTCAAGTGATAAAATGCCTGTCTGACAAGCATGAGGCCAAGTTTAACCTCAATACTCACATACACACATACTTAACCTCAATACTCACATACACACATACAGACAAACTCACACCACACATACACAATTTCGCAGCTTAAGGAAACTGCCAATAACATCAAAACATACTCCATTCTATAGAAGGACAGAGTGAAAATAAGCAAACATATCCCACACTTGCCAACCATATCTAGCAAGCATACCATATGAGTCACGTCAAGTTAATACCAACTCAGCTTGGGGTCCTCTGAGTATAACTCCCTTGAGGACAAGGACCTCTACCTGGAGCAGAGCACAATGAAAAGCAGATCTTTGATTTGTTTAGTAATGCCCTCGTGAGAGCTCAAACTGCACTCAAAGTATTTAGTGTAAAGCCTCTTTAGAATTCTTTATAAGAGCCGGGCGCTGGTGGCTCACGCCTGTAATCCTAGCTACTCAGGAGGCTGAGATCTGAGGATCGCAGTTCAAAGCCAGCCCGGGCAGGAAAGACCATGAGACTCCTATCTCCAATAAACCACCAGAAAACCGGAAGTGGTGCTGTAGCTCAAGTGGTAGAGCACTCGCCTTGAGCTGAAGAGCTGAGGGACAGTGTCCAGGGCCCAGAGTTCAAGCCCCATGGCCGACAAAAAAAAAAAAAAAAAAAAGAATTCTTTATAAGAATAAAAACTCTTAAGAAAGGCTGCTTAGCACAAATATAAACCAAAATTAGCAGGACTTTCATCATACATTATCCTCACATTTTACTCTGTACTTAAAATTTACTCATGCTTTGTTTGTAGCAAATTTTTATATTTCTAGAATATTTTATATTCCTATCTCTTAAATAGGCTCTTTTTCCTGTGAAAATTTTCCTCTAATAAAATAAAAATTATTCCTATTGGGTATGATAGAACGAGCCAGATCTACTGATCTGCTTTTTCATTTCAGTACCAATTAAGAACCATAGTAACTAATTTAGTAACTAATTCTCTCCCATGTCCTAAGGTCACTTAAAATAAAAGAAAGCTAATTTCAAACTATCTATATTGTACTAATTCTAAGATCACCTAAAATGAGAGAAAGCCAGTTTCAAATTATCTATATTGTACTAAATAAACACTTTTTTTATGTGGTAAATTAATTTCAACCTCATTCATGAAATGTTTCCTCTTGGCTTATTCTTATTAAGTTGGTTTTATGTTAATAAATTGTTTTGTGGAAAGGAAACCAAAAGTTGTGTGTAACAACACATTAAACAGAACTAAAATTAGAAAGAAGTGAATTAGCTTCCTGAATTTATATACTGAAATGGGAGAACAGCTCATGAAAGAATTTTTGTGCTCTACTCATCCAAAACAGGAAAGAGCTTAGGATTCTTTGCTTAGATACCTCCAGAACCATCCCCCACGTCACACACTCACTCAAACACACACAGCACACAACACACACACACACACACACACAATAAAAGGAACCAAATTAACAAACCCAATCAATCACAACTTCAATTTTCTGCTTGTTTCAATCCTGACTGTATTATGCTCATTTTGAAAAGAGGAATTTATATTACACTAGAAAAAAGTATTTACCTGAACAAAATAATAAACAGTAAAGCGAGGTTTTCACTTGCCCACAAATGTACAAAACTAACAACTCTTAATATTTTCCTTAATACTACCAACATCCAAGGCCCAAGTTTGGTGACTACTATGTAGTAACATGAATTAGAATTGGTTAAGGTCCTGGTTTGTTCAATACTATGCAGTAACGTGAATCATAATTGTTTTACTCACAAAAATCACAAATTCTACAGAACTCGGGGTGGGAAGAAATCTTAAATGTAATTTTACCCTAATATTTTTTGTGTGTCATATCCTGCCTTAATAATAAAAAAAGCTCTATCAAAGCATCTCATTAAAATCCTAATATTTTCAAATATGTTATTTAAACAGTGCTTTAAAATTTGCAAAGCACTTTCACACATTTCTGTTTTTTTCAAATTATTTATTGTGATTAAGTGGTTACATAATTTCTCAAATTTCACAGTATTCTGGAATAGTGATGCTTAGTTAAAGTCACAAACACATTCTAACTTTTTTTTTGGGGGGGGTGGTCCAGTCGTGGGGCCTGAACTCTGGGCCTGGGCGCTGTCCCTCAGCTCTTCAGCTCAAGGCTAACGCTCTAACACTTGAGCCACAGCACCACTTCCAACTTTTTTCTTTTTGCTTATGTGGTGCTGAGGAATCAAACCCAGGGCCTCATGCATGCAAGGCAAGCGCTCTACCATTGAGCCACCTTCCCAGCCCCCACATTCTAACTTTTATGAGGCAAATTGTCTATCATGGTCTATAACATTTATGAGTTCTATGAGTTTTGCAATAGTTATTTCTTCCACATTGGGTGATATGTACATTTGTTTTGTTTTACATAGCATCAGCTGTTTCCTCTTTCCCACTTGTTCCCTCCCTCCCATCGCTGCCATTGAGTTGCTTAGTTCATTTTGATCAATGTCCAGTGCAGCTAATGGATCCGCTGTTGTCTGTTTTTCCCTTATTTCCTCTAGTTCTGTGTCCTTCTCCTGATTTCCCTCTGGTGTGTACATTATACCATATATGTGATCAGTAGCATGGGGTTATTTAGTAGTGATTTGACCAGATGAGTGGGGTCCTTTGTTTCTTACGTCTTGTTAATTTTGTCATATCACCTTACATTTTAAATTTAACATCCGCTTATCAGGGAGACCATGTACCGTTTGTCTCTTTGCTCTTGGCTTACCTCAATACGATTTCTTCTAGCTCCATCCATTTCCCTGCAAATGCCATTATTTTGTCCTTTCTAATGGCTGTATAATATTCCATTGTGTATAGATACCACAATCTTTGGATCCAATCATCCATGGTGGGACATCTGGGTTGTTTCCATATCCTGGCTTTGTGAACAGTGCTGCAATAAACATGGAGGTGCATGTGTCCTTGTATCCTGATTCCTGTTGTTCAGGATAGATGCCTAGGAGTAGTATGGCTGGGTCATAGGGGAGGTCTGTATTTGGCTTTCTGAGGCCCTTCCAGACTGCTTTCCAAAGTGGTTGTATAAGTGTACATTCCCACCAGCAGTGTAATAAGGTTCTTCTTTCTCTGCATTCCCTCCACCAACATTTGTTGTTGGCTGACTTTAGGATGTGGGCCATTCTGACTGGGGTAAGGTGGTATCTCAGGGTTGTCTTCATTTGCATTTCCTTCACAACCTGGGATGGTGAACATTTCCTCATGTGTTTCTTTGCCATTTTTATCTCTTCTTCTGAGAAGTCTCTCTTTAGTTCCCTTGCCCATTTAGTAATTGGTTTGTTAGGTTTGGGAAGGATTAGTTTCTTAGGTTCCCTGTATATACATTGTCTGATATTTTGCTGGCAAATATTTTTTTCCCAGTTAGTTGGTGGTCTTTCTAGCTTGGTTGCTATAGCTTTAGCTGTGCAAAAATTTTTTATTTTAGGGGCTGGGAAGGTGGCTCAGTGGTAGAACGCTTGCCTTGCATGCATGAGGCCCTGGGTTCAATTCCTCATCACCACATAAGCAAAAAGAAAAAAAGCCAGAAGTGGCACTGTGGCTCAAGTGGTAGAGTGCTAGCCTTGAGCTGAAGAGCTGAGGGACAGCGCCCAGGCCCAGAGTTCAGGCCCCATGACCGGACCCAAAAAAAAAAAAAAACTTTTTATTTTAAGGTAGTCCCAATTGTAAAGTCTCTTTCCAATTTGTTAGGACCCTGAGACTCTGTTCAGGAAGTTTCTGCCTGTGCCTATAAATTCAAGTGTTTCTCCTACTCCGTCCTGCAGTAGTTTCTGAGATTCAGGTGTGATGTTAAGGTCTTTAATCTTTTTTGAGTTAATATTGGTGCATGGTGATAGGCTGGGGTCCACTTTTAGTTTTCTGCATATGCCCTCCCAGTTTTCCCAGCACCAGTAGTTGAAGAGGCTGTGTTTCTTCCACTGTATGTCTTTGGCTTCTTTGACAAATACCAGCTGACTGTAGGCATCTGGTTTTATTTCTGGATCTTCTACTCTATTCCATTGGTCTTCAGGTCTGTTTTTGTGCCAGTACCATGCTGTCTTTGTTATGGCTCTATAGTAGAGTTTGAAGTCCGCCATCGAAATCCCTCCCATATTGTCTTTTTTGCCTAGAATTGTTTTGGCTATTCTAGGTCTTGTGTTGTTCCATATGAATTTTTGGACTGTTTTCTGTATTTCAGAAATGTATGTCATTGGGATTTTAATAGGAATTGCATTGAATTTGCATATTAATTTTGGCAGTATTGCCATTTTTAAAGTTTTTATAGTTTTTGTTAAATACTTCTTTTACATCTTTGGTTAGGTTAATTCCTAAATATTTTATTTGGGGGGGGGGTTATTGTGAATGGGGTTGCTTCCTTTATTTCCCTCTATGCTTGTACGTTGTCAGTGTACAGGAAGGCAACTGATTTTTGTGGGTTGATTTTGTATACTGCTACTTTGCCGAAGTGATTGATAATTTCTAAGAGTTTGGGGATGGAGTTTTTGGGATCGTGGAGGTATAGTATCATGTCGTCTGCAAAAAGGGATAGTTTAACTTCTTCTTTCCCTATGCGGATCCCTTTAATGTCTTTTTCTTGCCTTATTGTCCTGGCTAAGGGTTCCAGGACTATATTGAAGAGGAGTGGAGACAGTGGGCATCCTTGCCTTGTTCCTGATTTTAGGAGAATTGGTTGTAATATTGGCTATTGGTCTATCGTATATGGCTTTTATTGTTATAAGGAATGTTCCTTCTATTCCTATTTTCTCCAGAGCTTTTAACATGAATGAATGTTGTATTTTATCAAAAGCCTTTTCTGCATCTGTAGACATAATCATGTGATTCTTGACCTTGGCTCTGTTGATGTGTTGGATTACATTTATTGATTTACGTACGTTAAACCATCTCTGCATCTCTGGGATGAAGCCTACCTGGTTGTAGTGTATTTTTTTTTTTATGTGTTTCTGGATTCTGTTAGCTAGAATTTTGTTAAGGATCTTTGCATCTGTGTTCATCAAGGAGATTGGTCTGTAGTTCTCTTTTTGGTTGGGTCTTTGCCTGGTTTGGGGATGGGTGTGATATTGGCATCGTAGAATGAGTTTGGGATAGCTCCCTCCTTCTCTGCTTCTCTGAAGAGCTTGAGGAGTTCTTCTTTAACGGTATTATAGAATTCTGCTGTGAATCCATCTGGTCCTGGGCTTTTCCTTGTTGGAAGACTTATTGCTTTCTGTATCTCATTGTAAGATACTGGCTTATTTGATTTACTTCTTCTTTGCTCAGTTTGGGCAACTTGTATTACTCTAAAAATGAATCCATTTCTGCTCTGTTTTCTTTCTTTAGAGAGTATAACTTTTGAAAATAGTTCTTTATAATTGTTTGGATATCTTTATTTGGTGTGATTTTTCCTGTGGCATCCCTGACCTTGTTAATTTGGGTTTCCTCTCTCCTTTTCTTAATTATTCTTGCCAAAGGTCTATCCATTTTATTTATTTTTCAAAGAACCAGCTTTTTATTAATTTTATTTATAAATTTCCTATTCTCTATCTCATTAATTTCCACTCAATTTGATTATCTGGCTCCATCTAGTAACTTTAGGTTCCATTTTTTCATGTTTTTCTACCTGTTTTAATTGCAACATGAGATTATTTACTTGGTCTGTCTCTATTTTCTTGATGTGGGCACTGAGAGCGATAAATTTGCCCCTCACAACTGCTTTTGCTGTATCCCACAAGTTTCTTTGTGATGTGTCTTCATTTTCATTGAATTGTAGGAACTTTTTAATTTCTTCTCTAATTTCAAACACTTTCACACATTTCTTATGTGAAATTTCCCCAAGTTGTTCACAAGTGTCACTCTGTGTAACTGGTATCATCCTTTCCTCTGTGTGGGCTGCCCTCAAGATGCTTTCTACTCCAGTATTCTTTGTCTGAAACTCCTTGTAGGGTTGGCTTTTCATTCTAAAGTCTCAGTACACATAGCACCACTTCAGCTACTTCTTAATACTACAAACAGGACCCTATTGCCTTTTGCCTTATTCATTATCCTAATACTTTATGAATTTCCTTCAAAGGACTTCATACATCTAAAAAACTCATTTATTAACTTCTTCAATGCCTACTCCCTGAGAAGCTGTAATTCATAAACAATAATATTAAGCTCAAAAAGCTTACTTAAGATTTTCTGAAGATAAAAAAGCAACAACCAATTACCTCATGAAATGTTCCTACCAATCATAAGATCTGAAGAACTGTAAGAAACCTCAGAGACTACCAAGTCCAAGCCTAACTTTAGAGATTACAAAGGTAATTCTTGAGAGCACAGAGCTCTTCTGTGCCAGAGCAAGCCCTGTGTACTCACCCCCAAAGTTTATAAATCAATTATGTCCAATCCAACACTAAAAATAATCCTTTAGTTTTAATTAAACTGTCTCATTATCAAAACTCTACTGAATGTGACCGGTATAATATCAGAGGAAAAGGCAGTTCAACAATAAATTAAACATCCAAGCAGCTAACATTTAGGTAATACACAGAATTCTCCCAGCATAATTTATTATTTCTTTTTTTGCCAGTCCTGGGGCTTAAACTCAGGGGCTGGGCACTGTCCTTCTTTTGTTCAAGGCTAGCACTCTATCACCTGAGCCACAGTGCCACGTTTGGCTTTTTCTGGGTATGTGGTACTGAGGAATCAAACCCAGGACTTCATGGATGCTAGGCAAGCACTCTACCACTAAGCCATATTCCCAGCCCCCAGCATAAATTCTTATTCAATTATTTACACAGTAACATCTTCTAAATTATTTTATACAATGGAAAAAAATTCATATTAACCAAGTAAAATTTACAAATTTACCTGTGATGTTTTATTCATTTAACTCAATATATATTTTTACTAATCACTAAATAACAACATTCTTAAAACAATCTCTTACATGAACACACTAGTTGGTCAAATAAGGAGCACTCTAAGTTAAAATACATGTGTTTACCTCATTGTTGGTATAATGTAGATCCATGGACTGTCCAAATGCAATTTTAGCCTTAGACCTCAGGTCTTCTAGCTTAACTGGTCTGGGGAACTGAAGGATTCTTTATAGACAGAATTTTTAAATATTTTAATCTTTAGGCATAAACAATATACTACCAACATTCATATCTTATTACATACAAAATAAAATAAAAACTGTGCAAAGTTTAGGGTTTTTTCCAGAGCTTATAAGGATCATGAGCAAATTTCAACCCAAAGTTCAAAATCTCTCCAGTTCTATTCAAATTAAAATTAAAGAAATGTCAAGACTTTCTACAGTTTCTAATTTGCAATAGAAGTGTCATATAAATATTAAAGGCCAATGTAAAACATCCACTGAGGAAAATGATTAAATGTAACTATGTGACTCTTGCATAATAAGAATGCAATGAAACTGTTAAAAATAATAATGAAGCTGTCTTTGGGACTTCTCAAATTTTGTTGTCTGTATCCTTATCAATTCAACATTTCTTTTAGTCCACAGATTATATAAACACATTTTAATATAGCTTACAGAAATTAAAATGAAATTAAAATATTTCTTCCTATATCCCAAAGGATTTGCCTTGACTGGCTCAAACAGCATACAGTAATTTGGAAGAGAAAGTACCATGTAGACTCCAAGCTGCACATAGGAGAGCTCTCATGTACTTTATTCACTTTATGTCCCAGGACCTAACATGTAATAAATACTCAATAAACAGGGCTAAGTAACTAAAAAACTGGGAAAAACAGGCTGGGAAGATGGCTCAGTGGTAAAGTGCTTGTCTTGCATTTATAAGGCCCTGGGTTCAATTCCTCAGTACCACATAAGCACAAAAAGTCGAATAAGTGGTGCTATGGCTCAAGTGGTAGAGTGCTAGCCTTAGCTGAAGAGTTGAGAGACAGTACCTACTCCCAGAGTTCAGGCCCGATGACTGACCAAAAAAAAAAAAAAAAAAAAGATTGGGAAAATATCCATGAAGAATCTTAAATAGGGAAGTGGAGCAGACAACAGTTCTATGGTATGCTTGTTATATTCCATTTTATTCAATACTTCTTCAAGTTATATTATTTGTATGCCATTTTAAGTCCTTAAGACTAAATTGTTATTATACCATATATTAAGAAATCAAAATTAAATTCCATCTTCCTATTAGGTTTTGTTAGCTACTTTGTATCAACTAGCACTATCACCATCACCCAGCATCACCACTCCTGCACTAAGATAGAGATCCCCAAGGGTAACGCCAGGTTAGCATCTCCACTAAATAATTTGCAGGTACCAATCCAACTCAATTTCCTCAACATTACTAACAAAACACATCATATCATTAATGCGTCTTCAGAGTAATCAAAACTATAAACACTAAGTCAATATACATAAATTCAGTGTCTAATAATTGTAAGAAATAATCCATTGAGGGCTGGGAAGGTGGCTCAGTGGTAGAGCACTTGCCTTGCATGCATGAGGCCCTGGGTTCGATTCCTCAGCACCACATAAGCAAAAAGAAAAAAAGCCGGAAGTGGTGCTGTGGCTCAAGTGGTAGAGCACTAGCCTTGAGCTGAAGAGCTGAGGGACAGCGCCCAGGCCAAGAGTTCAAGCCCCACAACCAGACCCCCCCCCAAAAAAAAAGAAAGAAAGAATCCATTGAGTAAGATATAAGTAAATGGTAAAATTTAAAGAGTGCATTAAGCACTGACCTTATGAATTCTTAATATTGCAAAGTAAAAACATCAATAATTTCTAATGATTAGCCCAAATTGTGACACATTGTTATCTAACATCTAACCACGTCACACTTTACAGAAGGACTGCTCCATTCTATAAAAGCCATGAAACCTTATTCAAATCTGGAGAGAACTTTGAGTAACCTGTACTAAATAACTTAATGGATAGGTAATGTTTCTTTGATTACCTTTTTTCTCCTCTATGTTCAAATTTGACTCGGACATCATTCTGTAATGAAATGACAAATCAGTTACACAATCATTCAGATATATATTTGAAAGTTCTAAACCATATTTTTCCTTACCCATTTATTTAATATACAGCAGAAAGGAAAGGGAGGTTTATTTTCAGTGCCAGCTTCTATCAATTTATATTGTCTGCCAAAAAGCTGGGTTGAGAATTATGTTGCAAAGTCAGGCTCAATGGGAAAAAAGCACAAAATCTATGAGTGAGGACACATCACAGGTACATATTTGCTGACCTTGCATAATGGAATATTGCATACGACACAGTAGTCTTCCTTTATGTGTAGAGGGAGTATTCCAAGATCAAAATGATCTTTTTTCCCCTTTCTTCCTGTCAACTTGAAAACTTTCTACTCTAATTCAATTGCCAGCATCAATACTCTTATGCTGTTGGGGCCACTATTATGTGCATTATTATTACGGATTAGTTGAAAACAAGTACTATAATATCACGTTAGTTAATCTAAAATGGATCCTCAATTTCTATAATGGTGTGTAGCATATATATAGCAGTTTGGACAAATACAATGGACAGTATATACAATGGACAAAGGAATATACTTCATGAGGATAGCAGTAAAAACCAGGAGAGTGTGAAATTTTATCCCAGTATTCAAAATGTCAGGAAATGTAAAAAAAAAAAAAATTTTTTTTGTTGGTCATGGGGCTTAGACTCTAGGCCTGGGCACTGTCCCTCATCTCTTCAGCTCAAGGCTAGCACTCTACCACTTGAGCCACAGTGCCACTTCCAGCTTTTTCTACTTATGTGGTACTGAGGAACTGAACCATTCAAGGCAAGCACTCTTACCACTGAGCCACCTTCCCAGCCCAGGAAATGTAAAAATTTTTAAATGGTTCATTTCTAGAATTTTTTTTTTTTGGGGGGGGGTCCGGTCATGGGGCCTGAACTCTGGGCCTGGGCGCTGTCCCTCAGCTCTTCAGCTCAAGGCTAGCGTTCTACCACTTGAGCCACAGCGCCACTTCCGGCTTTTTTCTTTTTGCTGATGTGGTGCTGAGGAATCGAACCCAGGGCCTCAGGCATGCAAGGCAAGCGCTCTACCACTGAGCCACCTGCCCAGCCCCTCATTTCTAGAATTTTCCATTTGTTATTTTCAGACTTTGGCCAGCTATAGGTTAACTGGAACTTTGGAAATTAAAATAATTTAAAATCGTTTATAAATATCCAAAACAGACTCATTTAGAAAAGAAGAAAAAAAATTGCTTAAATGTTTAAATAGATAAAATACAAATATTAGTGAGCAGTTACAATATTCAATGAAATTCTAACATTTCAAAAAGTGTATACTGGTGTAGAAAAATGTATAAAACAGAACATATGGTTCAAACTATAAAATCTAAACGCATTTAAAAAAATCTATAAGAGGGGTTGGGAATGTATGTGACTTAGTGGTAGAGTGTTTGTCTAGCATGAATGAAGTCCTAGGCTCCTCAGTACCACATATACAGAAAAGGCTGAAAGTGGTGCTATAGCTCAAGTGGTGAGTGCTAGCCTTGAGCAAAAGAAGCTCAGGAACAGTGCCCAGGTCTTGAGTTCAAGCCCCAGGTCTGACAAAAAAAATTTTTTTTATAAAATCAGGTTAAAGAAAAATAATTCACAGACCAACTACATGTACTTGTTAAAATATTCTTGAAATATATACCTGCTTTTTTGGTGATGAAGATTTTGTTTTTCTACTTTCCTGTAAGGATAATGCTGGTCGACTGGCCTTATGAAGGACAGCCAAATCTTGCATGATTGAGTTCAATGCTTGCTGATCATCTAGATATTTTTTAAAAGAACACAATACAGAACTGTAAATTCAACATATACTTATCATATATACCAAATAAAATTTATAATGGCTTTGAACCATGATCCTCAGCTAGGATTATAGGCATAAACCACTAGCACTTAGCCTTCTATATATTTTTAAGCAATGACTCTTTTGTGCTTTGTTGCTTACTGTAAAGCATTATTAGAAAATAATAAAAATCTGTAATCACTTAATCACAATCAAAAAAAAAAGAACCTCAGGGAAGGGAGGGAGGGAGGGGATGGTAGGGGGAAAACAATGGAGGGGGTAACAATGTTCAAGAGGAAGTGTACTCATTACTTCACTCATGTAACTGTAACCCTCTGTATAGTATCTTTACAATAAAAAAAATAACATACAAAAAAAAAGAAAATAATAAAAATCAATTTGATTAGTATATAGCTCTGAGTTCAAGCAAAAGCAATAAAAATGACAAGTGGATAGGAGTTCAGTAAATGCATGTCCAATTTGGAAGCAGAAGTGTAATTTGTATAAGTGATTAGACTGGAAAATCTGAACCAAAAAATATCATGATAAACAACTTACATATTTACCAAGTATACCCATACACTAAAAGTACATTTGCCCATAATTACATTAAAGAACAAAAGCCAAGTTAAACTCTTTAGCCCATAATGTTATGAATGTGGTAGTAATTGCATTTATTTTCTTAAGCGAGTAGTAGAGAAAATGTGACAAAGACAAATTTTGGCAAATAAATGTAAGCCAAAAGGATAGACCCAATCTAAGTTTAACTACTTAGCAGTTTATTCGGTCCATTTTTCCAAACCAGAACAAAATAGGCCATAGGCTCCATTTCTTTCTAGTATCTCCCTGCCTAATCCCTTTCACAGGATGAAACCCTCAACATGAAGGAGAAAAAGTGGCAGCTAACCAAACAGAAAGCAAAGATATACATTGTGTACACAAGTCCATTTCTATATGTTAGTCTCCCTTAAAATTAAATGTATAATACTACAAGATTGTCTTGAGTTGTCAACTATATTGTCCCTAAACATCAATGATATGTTATAGTACTCAGCTATAAAATATGATTTATTTCTTTCTGGCCATCAGGTGCTAAACAAATCATAGTACATCTGCTGTTCTGAATATTCCTTTTGTGTCCCAAAGAACATGCTCATTTCCAAAACTGCAACAATTCACATTAAAAGTGTTTTACTTGAAAATCTACTTAGTAAATAAATAACTAATATTGCATAAGTTTGCTGTATCACAAATTTTCTTCATGGAACAGTTTATCATAGCACATAATAACAATTTCTCCCTTATCTTATCCTTTAATTGTTACTGGAAAGTGCCTTTAGTTTGAACTCACCCATCATGGCAACCAGCTTGACAATGTGGAAATTAGAATAACTGTTCTTCCATCAGCATTCTTTATTACCTTGGAAGATAGAAAGACAAATACAATAGTAAGAACTAGGACAGACAGCCACAAAAATAAAAACTAATGTAAGTAACACGAATGAGAGATGTGTACACCATAAACACTTTACCCATTGGGGGGGGGTGAGGGGAACACATATATTTTACTTAACATACCAAAATTCCAGACTCACAGAAGAAAAGCAGATGTTCTGCATAGGTCAGTGTTTGTAAAAACAGTTTAGGCACACTAAAGCCATTATTAGTCAACTGTTAGGTTATAACTCTCTTAAAACTAATTTCTCAAGTACTACTCAAAGGCTAACTTTGTAAGCAGGCCTTTTTAAGAATAAGCAGTCTAACCCATTATGTTAATCCTTTTCTATGTAAGTAGAAAAAACAACTTAATATACTAAGAAAGCTAAGATAATTTTTTAACTGTTGCTGGGCATACAATATGTAATAAAAATTTGTATAGCAATAATAGTACAACAGATATTAACTGTACTATTGTTATAGACATTATTAGAATTTATATACTGTTACTATTAGTCCAAACTACAGTTTATGAGTTTTAAAGTTCTTAATTGTACTACTCAGGCCAACCACTAAATAAATAAAAAGTAAATTTTAGAAAATACATCAAACAAGTCAGGTGCTGGTGGCTCATTCCTGGAATCCTAACTACTAAGGAGGCTGAAATCTGAAGATTGCGGTTCAAAGCCAGCCCAGGCAGGAAAACACATGAGATTCTTATCTCCAAGTAATCACAGAAAAAGCTGGAAGTGGCACTATGGTTTAAGTAGTAGAGTGCTAGCCTTGAGCAAAAGGAGCTCAGGGACAGTACCCAGACCCAGAGTTCAAGCCCCAGAACAAGAAAAAGAAAAATATACAACAAAGATGACAAGAAAATTAAAATAAAATACTAGAAAATATCTATTTAGCAAAAAAGTAGTAAGAGAAATCAAGAAACAAGATATAGCATACATGGAAAATGCAGGTGCAAATTTACCTTATGGGCAATTGTATGTAATATAAATGGGATAAACAAACTAATTAAAAGGCAGAGATTACTCAGATAAAAAATAATATGGTTCAACTAGCTATTTAAAGATACACATTTAGAGTCAAAGATAAAATAGACTGTAAGTAAAAGGGTGGAAAAGGACACACTGATACAAACATGCCAACAGTTGCCAAAAGAAGACAAGAGGCCTGGCTAGTATTACATTTCATAGGTTATGATATAAAAATTATTAGTGACGATAGGCATTTTATAATGAAAAATGGTAGTTATCAACAATATATAACAATTATAAACATATATGCACCAAAGTAACAGTCTAAAAACATAGAAAGCAGCCAGGCACCAGTGGCTCTTGCCTGTAATCCTAGCTACTCAGGAGGCTGAGATCTGAGAATCATGGTTCAAAGCCAGCTGGGGCAGGAAAATCCATGAGACTCTTATCTCCAATAAACCACTAGAAAACCGAAATGGCACAGTGGCTCAAGCGGTAGAGCACTCATCTTGAGATGAAGAGTGCAGAAACAGCACCCAAGCCCAGAGTTCAAGCCCCACAACTGACAAAAAGAAAAAACAAAACAAAAATAAAGCATAAAAGATAGAACTTAAGAAGGAATCATGTTGCAGTTTCAATGTTGTATTTTCAATAATGGATAAAATAATACACAAAATCAATGAGCAAACACAATATTTGAACAACATGATAAACTATTAGCTTTGAGTCAGGTATGGAGCCAAGTACCATGCTATAATCCTAATACTTAAGAAGCTGAGGCAGAAGAACTGCAAAGTTCAAGGTGAGCTTACTCAGTTCAGTCAAACTGAGCTACACAGTGATAATGCCTCAAAAATAAATAAATGAACAAAAGTTACTGCACTTAATGAATATTATTATACAACATCCTCCAAACAGCAGAACACACATTTTGTACAAATGCATGTAGAAAAATTTCTGGGACAGAGCATGTGCTAGGCTCGACAATAAAATCTTCATAAATGGGCTAAAATCACCTGAAGGATGTTCCTTCAGGTTATCAGTTAACTGATAACAGTTATAGGTTCACTGCACTATGCAGTAAAATTAGAAACTAGTAACAGCAGGAAAACTGGAGAATTCAAAAATATGTAAAGCTAAACCACAGTCAAAAATAACAGTGTTAAAAGAAGTCATAGGGAAACAGAAAATACTTCAAGATAAATAAAAATGAAAGCAAACTGAAGTTTACTGTATGCATCTAAAGTAGAGATGAGATTTATAATTATAAATATCTATGTTAAGAAAACATGTAAGAGGGCCTGGGAAGGTGGCTCAGTGGTACAGTGCTTGCCTTACATGTATGAGGCCCTGGGTTCAATTCCTCAGTACTACATTAAGCAGAAAAAGACAGATGTGGTGCTGTGGGGCTCAAGTGGTAGAGTACTAGCCTTGAGATGAAGAGTAGAGGGACAGCGCCCAGGCCCAGAGTTCAGGCCCCACGACTGACAAAGAAAAGAAAAGAAGAGAAAAGAAAAGAAAGATGTAAGAGAACTGGGTCTGTAATCCTGGCTACTAGGAGGAAAGAGGTAGGAAGTAGGAAGATTGCAGTCAGTACAAAGGAATGAAAATGAAAATCAAAATAAGGCAAAGAAGTTGGGGATGTGACTCAAGTGGTAAAACACCTGCCTAGCAAACATGAGACCCTGAGTTCTAACTCTAGTAACACACACATACAATGTAACTAACCACATTAATAGAAAAAAAGACAATATTTTTAAAAAACTGTTTCAACAGAAAAGGCACAGAACTCCTTTAACAATCAAAGCATAACAAATAGAAGGAAATATTCTTCAAGTTAATAAATGTTATCAATAAAAAAAATCCTCAAGTAACATCATAGATAATGGTGAAATACTAGATAAGATTTACTCCCTCCAAGATCACAATTACTAAAGTTTTAGTCAGAATCTAAGTCAAAATTAAAGAAACTATACCTGTTTGCAAGTGATATAATACTGTATACAGAAAAACCTATGAAATTCATTTTAATACTACTAATACAAGTAAATTCAGAGGAATAACAGAATTCAACATCAGCATTCAAACATTAGCTGTATCTCTTGTCTTGCTTTTATTTTTTAATCTTCAAGTGATTATACAAGAAAGTTACAATTTAGTATGTCCATTTATCTGTCAGTGCATCTTGATCAAAGTCATCTCTTCCATCACTCACCCATCCCCCATTTTGGTTATTATTTATTTTTAAATTAGTTGTATTCAGGGCTGGGAAGGTGGCTCAGTGGTAGAGCACTTGCCTTGCATGCTCAAGGACCTGGGTTCGATTCCTCAGCACCACATAAGAAAAAAGCCGGAAGTGGAGCTGTGGCTCAAGTGGTAGAGTGCTAGCCTTAAGCTGAAGAGCTGAGGGACAGCGCCCAGGCCCAGAGTTCAGGCCCCACGACCGGACCCCAAAAAAAAAATTAGTTGTATTCTATACATTAACCATACACATTCTGGAATGAAATTAAGAAATCACTATCAGCTGGGCGCCGGTGGCTCACACCTGTAATCCTAGCTACTCAGGAGGCTGAGATCTGAGGATCACGGTTCAAAGCCAGCCCAGGTAGGAAAGACCGTGAGACTCCTATCTCCAATAAAACCACTAGAAAACTGGAAGTGGCGCTGTAGCTCAAGTGGTAGAGCGCCTGCCTTGAGCTGAAGAGCTGAGGGACAGTGCCCAGGCCCAGAGTTCAAGCCCCATAACCAACAAAAAAAAAAAAAAGAAAAGAAAGAAAACAAATCATTATCATATACAGTAAGATCAAAGAGATTTAGTATTTAGAAATATATTTAAATAACAAATTTGTATCCTGAAAGCTGCAAAACATTGTTGAAGAAAATTAAAGTAGACCTAAATTTACAGAAAGATGTTCTACGTTCGTGGGTGGGAATTTTTTTTTCTTTTTTTGTTGTCGTTGTGGGGCTTGAACTCTAGGTCTGGGTGCTGTCCCTCAACTCTTCAGCTCAAGGCTTGCACTCTACTACTTGAATCACAGTGCCACTTCCAGTTTTCTGGTGGTTTATTGGAGATAAGAGTCTCCAGTACTTTTCTGCCTGGGCTGGCTTTGAACCGTAATCCTCAGATCTTAGCCTCCTGAGTAGCTAGGATTACAGGCGTGAGCCACTGGCCTGGCAGGAAGCAATTTTTTTTTTTGGGGGGGGGTCCAGTCATGGGGCCTGAACTCTAGAACTGGGCGCTGTCCTTCAGCTCTTCAGCTCAAGGCTAGCGCTCTACCTCTCTTGAGCCACAGCACCACTTCCGGCTTTTTTCTTTTTGCTTATGTGGTACTGAGGAATCGAACCCAGGGCCTCATGCATGCAAGGCAAGCGCTCTACCACTGAGCCACCTTCCCAGCCCAGGAAGCAATTTTTTATTGTAGGTCATGGGGCTTGAACTCTGGGCCTGGGCACTATCCCTCAGCTCTTCAGCTCAAGGCTAGCACTCTACCGCTTGAGCCACAGCACCACTTCTGGCTTTTTTCTTTTTGCTTATGTGGTACTGAGGAATCGAACCCAGGGCCTCATGCATGCAAGGCAAGCGCTCTACCACTGAGCCACCTTCCCAGCCCAGGAAGCAATTTTTTATTGTAGGTCATGGGGCTTGAACTCAGGATCTGGGCACTGTTCCTGAGCTTTTTCACTCAAATCTAGCTTCAGACACAATGCCATTTCAGTTTTTTGGTAATTAATTGGAGATAAGAATCTCATAGACTTTTATGTTCAGGCTGGCTTCAAACTGCAATCTTTAGATTTCAGCCTCCCTGAGTAGCTAGGATTAGAGGCATGAGCCATTGGCTGGGAAGTTTTCAAGATAGCAATATTCCCACAATGATCTACAGACTCAGTACAATCTCTAGTAAAATTCCGATGGCTCCTCTTTATAGAAATGGAAAAGCTAAGTCCTCAAACTGATATGGAACTACAATTAGACCATTGATTGCCAAAGAAAATTGGAGGATTCT